ACTCGAAGGAAGGAGGGCTAGAGATCACTAGGTCTGAGTACTCTGGGACTAGAAAAAGGGCCGCCCCAAGTTGAAGTCAACTTGTCAGCATGTAATTGTTATTGTTAATAATAATGTATTGATTGATTCATGTCATTCGCTGTTGGATCACTGAAGGATTAACAACATGGCCAGCTTTTCGAGTTCTCCACTGTACTCCTGTTTGTCTGTGGGGAGGAGTGTTTCCATGTCTTTCCACTATGGATGCATCCCATGATGTGATTCAGGAATAAGGTGTACCAAACAAGCATTACAAGGACTGGTTTTTTTGTTTTAGTAGCCTTTATGGGTCCACTTTCTTGGTGGAATTTGGAGCTGCTATATTGCAGTTGAAATCTCCAAGATGTAGGCTAGATTTTTGTGGTATTGTATCAAAAACAGAAGTATACCTTTTTGTGGGGAAGTTCTTTGAAACGTGAATGGTAGCTGCCTACTAAGGGCTTTTAACTATCTTTGAGCTACCTTTTCTGGCTGCTGCTCACCATGGTGTTCTGGTTCTATCTGTTTTTTCATTTTTACAATTCATAGTCTGTTCTGCTTATAATAAAACATCAAATGCACAGTAAAACACCATAAATGCAGTAAATTTCAGTTGCAACAATGGAAAAGCTGGGGGAGTATTTGCTTGTAACACAGTTTAGTGCCCTGAATTTAGTTCAGGCTCGTTAGGAGAAGTAGTAACAATACAGTAATTCGGTTCAATTTAGGAGTTTCTTGACTTACTGTTGCCCTTGAACCAGGAATTTTGGTTAAAATAATCAATTGCTATGCAGGCCAACAACAAAACTTGGGTTGTTTAACTGCAATTTCTGATTAGCTCATAATAGCAAACGAGGAGTGTGTTAAAGTGGTAGAGTCTTCTGGCTTCCTTCTCCGTTCTTCTGTATGAAGGAGGCAATACTTGAAACCTATGCTTTATACATGCTGTTTTCTGTTAGTGCCAAACTGTAATAAAGGATTTCTTATAAAAACTCCCATATAAAATTGACCTGGCTACATAACTAAGCTAGGTCAGTAATAGTAAACTGTTTAAAATGTAGACTGTGATATTAATGTTTGGCATGTCTCGCTTGCTCGTTTGCCAAAGTGCTACTTGTTCAGTATCCTGCACACTTATAATATGTGGCATATATTGTTACAGATTATTTGTGGGCAATGAAATATTGGCTTTGCCTTTCATATATCTGTCGCAGTTGTCTAGACAGGATTCCCCCAAACTGGCAATTGTTAAAACCTCTGTAGATTTGGTTGTTCAGCATTTTCTTCAGGAAAATTTCTTCTTACTTATCCTTCCCAAAGTAATTCTGTAGTCTGCTATATTATGTAACATATTCCCAGTGTGGTGTAGCAACAGACTAGGACTCTGGAGAGCAGGGTTCAAATTCCCACTTGGCCATGGAAAGTCACTGGGAGAGTGGAACTGGTAAAACCACTCCTTAAGTATCTCATTTACTTTAAAAACCCTGTTAGGGTCAGTTCTGACTTGACAGCATAAAACACACACAGTACTGTTACATTATAGAACTGCTGCCTATAGGCAAGAGGTTTAGACTTCAGCCTCTGGGTGAGAGAGAGTGTGCTAAGCACTGTCTCTATCATATTCTTTGCATGGAGAACCACGGTTTTAAGAGGAAAGACTCTACATATGTGAAACCTCTCCACACAACTGGGAACCCTGATTTTCAGGAGAGTCTACAGGAACAGCAGAGACTTTCCTTTTTAGAATCGGGTCCTCTAGGTTAAAAGCAAGTGAAGGAGAGAAATGGGCAGCACTCTTCCCCAGTTTTCCTGAAAATTTGAACAGGACATTAGAGATACGGGTTCTTTCAAGAGTCCTTGAACAGAACAAAATTGCACAAAAAGGTTGTTGACTAGTTCATACACTGTACTGATATGGAGTATCGGGCAAGTGTGGCTTAGTTTCCTGCTGCTTAAAAATATGAATGAATTTCAGTATTAAATGTCTCATTTTACAGAAAAGGGCATGTTTGGAAAAGGTTGTGACATACCAGAACAATTGTTGGATTTGTTAATATGGAGCAAACGGCAGCTGTAAAGCGACTCTATGTTGGAGGACTTGGCCATACGATCTCAGAAGAGGAACTGCAGGAAAGATTTGGCAAGTTTGGAAAAGTTACAGGAATAGAAATTGTGACTCGAAAAGATGAACGAGGTAACATTTTAAAACTGTTCAAAAGTAGTAATATTTCGTTTGCAATAAGATCTGTAGCCTGTAGTCCCGTATAAACATACTGTACCTTGGAACACTGTCCATTGATGGGAGCCACCTCTCCAAGAACATGTGTAGAATTATGTTGTTACTGTAACTTTTTCATTAAGTTTTTTTATTGCAGTTTTTGAGTAACTATGTTTTCATTCTCACACAGGGAATCCTACAAAAACCTTTGCATATATTAATGTCTCACTTTCAGAGAAAGAACTTAAAAAGTGTAAGTATATGACACTGAAATGTGTGGATAGAAGAAAGTTCATTCAAGTTTGTAAAATTTTGTCACTTTTTTTCATCAACATTTTTGTGCATGTATAATGTCTGTTTTGTTCAACTTAATTTTGCGGTAAGCCACTCATAAATATTTAAGTCCCTTAGTGTTTTTGTGTTGACCGTAAAAAAATGCCTTATTGTCACTGAGATCCACTAGTGAAAAGACTTGAAACAAGTGCTGTAATAAAATGACCCTTCAAGGTATCCTGATCTACTCTCCTATCTCACTCGAGGGCAGATACATGACCAGCTTTCAGCCATCTGGGAGCCATTTTTGCCTTCCTTGTAAGAGACCGCATCCTGACTTCTCTGCTTCCCTAAAACACATTGGAGAAAATTTGACCCCAAAATGCAAATTCTCCCCTCTTCCAGCATCTGGAGGGTGCGAGTTGCTGGGTAAACCAGCAGAAATTCCATCTCTCTGGGCCCTATTTTATCCCATAGAAGGACTTTCTTTTCAAAACAGGAGGTGACCACTGGTTGCTTCCAGCTGGTTAAAACAACATTTTAACCCTAACCCTAAATCAGCCCAAGATGCAAAATAAGTGTACAGTACAAATTGCATACACCAGAAGCTTTGGGGACCAGGATTTGCACGTCTCCCTCCAGAATTTTTTGCAGCTGTTCAGGAGGCTGAGGGGTGGATGGAGCTCATCCCTTTTCTATTTTCACCTGTTCACAAAGTCGTCATGTCAATCAGCTCCTTATTGATGTGCGTGCTCTCTATCAGCGCCAACCTCCAAACATTCAATTTTTCCACTTTGTCTTTGCCTGCTTTAATTATTGGGGTAGTCTTCTTTCCCACTTACTCTAATGTGAAAAACTGTCCATGTAAAGAAGCTAGTTTTTGAGCCTGTTTTTCTGAGCTCCCTAAGCCAAATTGTCTGTCACCTGGACCACAGTAGCACCCATTCTTTTATCTTTTCCAGCAGTGCTTGAGATACTTTGGAAGTAGTTGCAGACAAGGCCCAAACGTGTATGCAAGTTAATAGCTGTCTTTGTTTTCTTTTTGTTCGACAGGTATATCCGTTTTGAATAAGACAAAGTGGAAAGGTGGGATACTACAAATAGAATTAGCCAAAGAGAGCTTTTTACACAGGTAAGTCTTTGCAAACAGGTTTTAGTGAAAACTGCTGGGGTGCTACATTGCAGTAATTTTTTTTAAATAGTCAGTATAACAAGTGAGCAATCTTGAGGATCTTCACAGAAATAACTGTTTGCATCTGTACAAAGGGAGCCATTTAACCCTTTTATTAAACCTCACAAAGTAATATTCAATTATTTTTATTGCCTGGAAGGTGTCCACAGAATGTACATTGTGAAAAGTTATTTTTGTGACGAGGAAGGAATTTTCATGAACTAACCTCTGTAAGGTTAGGAAGCAGGATCTGCTTTATGTCTGGTGCAAAGTGGTTAGAGGAAAAGAGAGAATATGCATTTAGAATTAAAAACAAAATCCACACACAGAATTCAACTCTTGCTTTTTCTGATTTAGCAGCCTAATACAGTAAAACAAAAACAAACCTACTGACTGTTGGCTTTGCTGTTGCTAAATGGCCAGATGTCAGAAGCCTGTGTTGATTTATAACGTAAAACATAAAAACTTACTGTTGGGTTGCAGCCTACACTACAGAGTGTACAGTCTATGTAAATTTACATTCTGTGAACGTAGGGGCAACAAGAATACAAATATATAGGATGAGTCTTTACATTTTTTTAAGAGAGATATAGAAAACTGCAATTATTTGCTTTTATGCAGACTGTCTCGGGAGCGTCAAGAAGCAAGCTTAAAAAAGGAACAGCTAGCTAATAATGGCACAATAGATGTTGTAGAATCTATGAAAAAATCTGGAGTTGTGGATTTTCATGTGAAAGCGGTACCAGGAACAGAAGTACCAGATCATAAGGTATGGTGAATTCTATTCAGTTGAGGAATGACCCAGTTGGTTAGCTGCCATCTGTAGCTTAAATCAGATTTTGGTCCCAACTTCAGTATGGCCATTGTAAGAGAGAATGACACCTCTTAACCTGCAAGAACATTGGGAAATATACTTTACAATTTGTTCCAGAATTGGCATGACTAAATTCAAAGTATTTTTCAGTGATTACATAAAGGTCAATATGAATCAGCCTGTTCTTTTTTCCTTCCACTTTGGGCTTTTTTCCCTTGCCACCAGGGGCTTCTACTTTTTTCTAACCACAGCGATTTGAACTGTGTTTTTCATTCATGATTGTTTATACAAAGTTTCGTTCTACAGAAAGACACAGTGGGCATGACTTTGGGAGGTTTTCTCGTGAAATAGTTTGTTGGGATGTGATGGCCCAACACCGACCCTTGCAGTCTCTCTCGACCACCTTATCACTGCATTGCTTCATTAGTTTAGTGCTACTTGGCACTGATAAAAAAAGGATAAGCCTCAATATAACATCAAAACAACTTTGACAAATTCCTGCAGACTTATTTCCATGGCATATGTGTTTATACTTCCATGGAAAACTTTGGAAAACTGTTGCTTTTTCCTTACTGCAATGCAGCCCTCTAAACAGTCCCAGTGGCTTGAGAGCAGACCATAAAAGGAAAGAAGGGGATCAACAGGAGGGTGGTATCAAAGGAAGAGGGATTTGGGGTGTGGATCAGATTGTATTGATTATAGGGGCTAGTGTAGATAGTGGCCTCAAACACCCCAGGGTCTGCACGTAGTCACCTAAACTGAATGCAATTGCAAGAGACTGGATCAAACTGATGCGAATCAGACCAACAGCCCATGTAGTCATGGTCTTAGTGAAAATAGATGTTAAGTCCTGTTGGTTTCAGGAGGTCTCTTCACTTTGAGCAGGATTTAGCCCAATCTGCTATTAAGATGATGCTTAAAATGTGCCCTTCACTTCATAACACTAATTTGTTCAAGCTCTTGCATTAAATTTCCAAAGCTGTGGTAATTTTTTTTCTCTCTTTAATAGGACTGGGTTGTTAGTAAATTTGGTCGAGTTTTACCGATCCTCCACCTCAAAAATCAACACAAAAACAAGATATCCTTTTCTACAGATGATTTTTTTAAAAAAGGAAATTTATCACATTTTTCATGCTGAAATGGCACCATACTTCTGTCTTGTTAAACTTGGACAATCATTTGAAATAGTTAATCTGGGGTAATGAAGAGTTGTAAGAACCCAAATATGTCATCCAGTGCTTCTGAAAATATTTCTGTGCTTTGCATAGTGTATACTGTAGGTGCCTTCATCAGTGGCTCAGGACTGGAGTATGGCAGCATCAGCACCACCCAGAAAATTTGGATTGAGACTCCCCCTGCCCTGACTTGGTCCATGAGCTGAGCCAGTATCCCTTAAAATGTTATTTTCACTTGAATTTGGAAGATGTGGTGTTAGTGACACATTACTGAGGAGATGGTTTTCTGTGAATGCCTGCATATATTTATTTTCTTGCAACACAGTTTGTTTTGTTGTTTGGTGCATAAGTAGCTTGCTTGTCTGAGAGCATCATTTGGTGTGCCAGCTGTCAGTTTACGACACTTTATAATGTGGGTTGTTATTTGGGCAGCTTGGCAGAGATTAAGCCTTGCAGTGTTAGTTTGAGAACAGTGGCCTTATGGTGTCTTGGCTCCTTGATTTGAACACCATAGAAAACGTGCTGCACGTGTTTCTTCGCCTAAATCATATATCTTCGTTAGACAATAGCACCCTGCTTATGCAGCACCATATATCCAAATTAAGTGTACAACTACTTTGGTTTTGGACCGCAGGCTCATTATATGCAGGATTCACTCCTAAGGTGATTTCAAACAAGTTCTATCTCTCCCCATAACGTTTGAGCTTTTTACAGGGCAAAGCATCTGTTTGTTTTTTCCTTAATTCAAGCAATAACATCATTAAGTATGACCCTTCAAAATATTGCCACAATCTTAAAAAACTGGATCAAGATCTTACTGAGCCCGTTCCCATTTCCCAGCTCACTTGGCATTTAGAAGAAGAGGGTGATGGCAGCATCAGTAAGAAACGACAAGGACACTTTCCTGTGACAAAGAATCTGCCTAAAAAGAAAGTGAGAGTACAAGACCACAGCAGTTTAAGCAGGACAGAATTGAATTCATGTGGCCAGTTTTCATTGGGAGCAACAAACACCATCCCAACAAAATTGCAGCAAAGCCACACACCAATCAGCAGAAAGCAGGATAAGGTGCACTCTGATGGTCAAAGGCCTGGGGCTAATTTAACATCTTGCAAGAAAATAAACGGCCTGTCTGAAAGCGATGTGGATTCTGAAGAAGAAATCAGAGCACTAGCAGCAAGGGAAAGGAACGTAAACGTAGTGAGCCCTAACGTTGAACAGGAAGATAGCATGGAAATTGTTGGAGGCAACTTTGAGTTGAAATATAGCACTCACTGGTCTTTACAGAGAGCACACGGTGCCAATGGTGTACTAAGGACCACTGAAAACAAAACTGACTATGATTCAGCTGACACAGATGAAATTATAGCTGTGACTAAAACACCAAAAGGAAAGGAGAAAAATGGAACTGTCAAGGAAGCTAAGACAGATAGAGGGGGAAAGGATGTGGGGCCAAGTTCTCAGTCATCTGACTTAAACGGTGCAAGGTCAGGGAAACGAAAGGGAGGGGAAAGGGCCGTGTCCAAAAGGAGAGCAGATTACAAGGCAGCTCCTAAACGGAAGAGCAGCACCGGTCGTGAGAGGTCTGAGGACAATAAAAGTTCTGATTCTTGTTTTGATACCAGTGAGTCTGAAGGGGATGAAAATTATGAGACTATGATGCAAAACTGTTATCGACTAGAGATCACATTAGAGGACTTGGAAAGACTGGCCAGCAAAAACACTGAGAGTACAGATCCAGATCCTGAGAGCAACCCAAGTGGCGCTCAGGATGAAGCCAGTGTATTGCCGGTTAATAACACCAGCAGCGTTCCAAAGACACCCGCAGTTACTCGTGTTGCAAAAAAAGGCATCTGCCCGGAAGAAATCATTTCTTCCCTTTTAGAGGAAGATTCTGATGAGGAGACTCCAAAGAGGAAAAGGACAGCTTTCGAAATTCAGCCTTTCAGAGGAATTGGGTCACTTTGTGGCGAGCTGACAAAAGGTGAGCTCGGCATACAAAAAAGTACAGAGAAGGAGGCTTCTTCCGATCACACTGATCTGGAAGCCTTTAGAAGGGCTTCAGACCCCTGGCGCTCAGGCGCATCGGAGAAAAAGCAGGCTTTCAAATCACTTTCAGTGAAAGAAATTGACTCCCACAAAGGGAGTTCTACCGGAAGCTCAGGTGAGGGTTCTGGCTGCCACACATCAAAGGAAGGAGACAGTAAGGTGGAAAGCACCGGTGCCAGCGTGGCTTCTCAAAATGAGCCCTTGAAAAACCCCAAATCTTTTCCCAAGAGCACAAAGTTAGATGGCAGCGTTAAAGGTCAAGTGCAGAGCAACAACTCAAGGAGCTCTTGCGAAAGAGAAGAGGCCTCTTTGGATTCTGCCAGAGCTACACACAAGCAGAATATGGAGGAGAAGCAACTGCAGGATAATCAAAAAAGGTTGATCGCTCTCCAGGAGAGGCAAAAAGAACGAGAACAGCAGAAAAAGCTCATTCAGGGAGCTCTAACGAGTCTGGTAGGTCACTCTGTGTGTGTGCGTTTGTGGTACTGATTGTGCTGTGGGAGAAACAAGTTTACTGTATCAGATATTGTTGGTATGAAATTTGGATGCAGGACAATACCTAAATATCACTTAATAACTAAAACGTCTGGCATGCTCCCTGTGGCTAGTCATAAAACCCTGAATTTCATGTTAATGGGAAGGAATTTATTCACTGTATTCATTGAATATAATGGGACTTAATAAACACAAATGAGATCCTGAAGATTATCATAGGCATCCTTCAATCTGGAGAGACCATGGCAACGTGCTCTGTATCGAGGAGTGTCCTCTCCAGAGCATGAAGCCTGGGTAAAGTAATATGGAGGATAAGCCCTCTTCAGTTCAGTGGGGCTAATTGCCAAACAAGTGGCTAAAGCATTATAGTCTCACAGTTGGGAAAGTTGCCTAGACAATCTGCTCCCGGATATTGATAGTAATGCCATAATTGCTTTAGGACCATAGGAACTTTCCTTAGACTGAGTCCGATTATACGTATTTGCTAGAGGGGGGGGGAGTGGTCTCTTAGCCCTTTACAGCAGAAGCAAATTATTACAGCAGTTTTTGCATAAGCTTGAAAACTAGAATTCATATTATCAGATGCATAAAGTGTAATCCTAAATGGACGGTCTCTGTCACTAATCTTAAATGGCTGTCCTTGAGCAAAGGACATTCAATTGGAAATTCCAAGCATAAAACAAAATAAGGAAATTCAGTTTTCTCAACTATGCCTTGAATTAGGATGATAGATTATTGAAATATATTAATTCAATGGCATGTTGATTTATTTATTCATTCATTCTATTTATATGCCGCCTATCTGGTCTTAATTCCGGGCATGTTTATTTATTCATTCATTCATTCATTCTATTTATATACCGCTTATCTGGTCTTGCAACCACTCTAGGCGGCTTGCAGACACATAATACAACAATAAATATAAAAAATAATTACTACACTAAATAGTCAATTTTTCAAGATGGGAAAGAAAACATGAAAAATAAACCGCAAAAGAAAAAGAGAAAGGAAAGAATCAGATATTAACTGGAGGGAAGGCCTGCCTGAACATCCATGTTTTTAATTGGTTTTTAAAAATACCCAGTGAGGGGGCTGCGCAAATCTCCTGAGGCAGATTGTTCCAGAGGCGAGGAGCCACTGCCGAGAAGTCCCGGTTTCTTGTATAGATCCCTCACACTGCCTTGTAACATAATTTGACCACATTGCTTATGCATTATTGTCACTGTTCATTTTGCATTTGTCTCTGTTTGGCCTGGGTTGCCAGATGGGTGGTATAGAAAATAAATAAATAAATATTTTCACTTCTCATACCCACATCCCACCTCCTTAGAGCCATTATAAATATATTGGCTACCATTTTAGGATTGCACCATGCATATGATTAGTTAGGCTCTATTCCTGAAATGTGGTAGTTTCTAAAGTGCTGCAAAATATCTTGTTCACCTGCAATAAACCAGACTCTGTTCAGCTGATTGGTATTTCCATGTCTACTTGGAATGTTTCATTTACGAATTGATTTTGTAGGAAATTCAGTCAAGAAATAAACAGAAACACATAGTATTTGATTCAGACAGTGAAAATGAAGCTGGAGTACAAGAGGTTGCCAGAGAAGGAAGCTCTAAAAATCTTGGGAAAGTAAGTTGACTTTGACTGTATCCCATGATATTGTCTTGGAATGTCAAACAAATGTCTTGTATACTCAGTCACGGATAGAAGAATCCTGTATACTTGTCTGCCAGGTTGTGTTTTTTTAATGATTACTTCCCTTTTTTAGGGAAACAAAGGTTACTGTGTTTTCAATGATGCACAGAGTAACAGCAAACACAAAGGAAATGTCTCAGTAAGAAAAACTATTAAAGGCAAACAGTGTTTTTAAAAAACAGACATTAATAAGCTACTGAAAGACACAGGTACCTATTTTACCAAAGTAGCTACTCTATTAAACAAGATGGGCAAGATTTCTGGAACTCAAGTGAAGCAGAATCAGAAGATGTCTAGTGATCCTTCCAAATTAATCCATGCACGGTCAGGCTGGTCCCTGCTTTGCTGCTTTCTGTAAGCAGGGAAAGGCCTTTCAGACTCTAACTGGCTGCCTGTGAGGGGTCTTTTTTTAAATGGGACTGTTGTCCCATTTTAAGGTGTTTTTAGAATTATTCTAAACAGTTTTATCCACTTGTTTTAGCATATCTGTTTCATTGTTTTTAACCCTCTGAATAATTTATTTTACCGCTTTTAATGTTTTTTTAAAAAATATTGTAAGCTGTCTTGGGTCCTTTTGAGGAGAAAGATGGGGTATAAATATTTTAAAGAAATAATAAATCCCAGAGCTTGGAAGCAGGACCTTTAATAAATCCAATAACGTGTGTATTTCTTACTTTACCAAAGGAATTCACCACTAAGACCTCTGGAAAGTTGTTTGAGAGCAGTGAGGATGAATCAAATACTGAGAATGAAGACGATGACAGATTCAGAATCAAACCACAGTTTGAGGGTAAATCTGGTGAAAAGGTTAGTCAACCTACATAGCATGTCAATTCCTCTTGTATTATTTTATAATATTCCTCTGGAATTCTCTGAAATGTTTATATAAGCATGCTCAGAAATTCTCCCCAATATGTATTTCAGTGTTTAAGCTCACTTTAAATCTTTTTCATGTCATCATTTCTTGACCATGGCAGTATTTTTCCTTTGAGCTGACATCTTTCTCTTCTTGCGATTATTCTTCAGCAGCTTCATCACCACTGAATTTACACTTAGTTGTGCTGTTCTTGTATCTGATTCTTATTCTGTCTATAGAATAAGAGTTCTATTTTACATGCAAGACGGTTTGAGTCTCTAAAGGAAGCCACTGGCTTGAGTTTGCAAAGGCTGAGCAGGCCTGTTGAGGACAGAACATTTTGGAGGTCACTTATTTATAGGATCGCCATAAGTCAGAGGCAGCTTGACAGCACGTAAGAACAACAACACCACAATTCTGCATAGTCAGTCATGCAGGGACTGTGGCTTTCTTTGGCACTCTGATGTTGCATAAATGTACGTGTGACAGATTTTTATATTTTAGGATGAGGTTTTACCCAAGATGTGCTATCTGTACTTTGGATGCTCTGGAGTAGGTAGTTAACTGAATATACTCGGATTCCTTTTGCCTGATAGGCTTTCCCAAGAAATCAGCTTGCACAGTTAAATAATAAGGAATCGCTCTGGGTCCAGGCTTAAACTCATATCCTTACTGTAAAAATTTTTGGAAAATAAAAGAGTGGAACAAGTCTAAATAGGGAGATACAAACATAAGCATATCTGGAAGTTGAGTCTTGGCAGTTGGACTTCTTTCTTGTTAGGTTGAAACGTTTCGCTACTCAGCCAAGTTGCTTTTTCAGTCTGAGAAGAGTTTACATACTGTTTGTTTGTTTGTTTGTTTGTTTATTTATTTATTTATTTAGCTTATATGCTGCCCACTCTACCCAAAGGTCTCTGGTTGGCTTACAACAATTAAAATACAATAAAAAGATAAAACAATTAAAATGCAATTAAAATAGATACTCTAAAAATTGCCATCAGGACCCACAGTTGATATTATTTTAAGCCTTCTGGAACAGGAAGGGTTTGGACCTGGCGCTGAAATGTCATCAGTGTCGGCGCCAGACGAATCTCAGTCGGGAGGGCCTTCCATAGTCTGGGGGCAGCTGCCAAAAAGGCCCTTTGTCTACAAGCCGTCCCTCTTACCTCCTTGAGGGGCAGCTCTTTCAAAAGGGCCCCCTGGCTAGATCTTATCTGCCAGGTAGGCTCATATGGTAGGCTCATATTAAATAAATAAAACAAACACAATTCCAAATAATGGCCGTAATAATATAAAATCAGTGTAGTGACATGTGTTAACTTTTCTACAAGGAAGAAAGACGAAGTCACAAGTGCCCTAAGCACATTTCAGGGCCAACCTTGTGCAAGAATATCCCCTGGAGCCTTAGCAGCCTGAAGCAAAGCTGCCCTCTGGCTGATATCCAGAGGTTTAAGGTTATGGGAGCTGAGTAGGAGCTTCCTGTGCTTTGAAGGTCAGAACGCTCTTAGCGGCACTTGTATAATATGTATGGCACTTATGTCAAAAAGTTACTAGAAGCTCATTTCTAATGCCTAGTGCAAACTTATTAGAATTTCTTGGGAACATCATCCAGTTTGTTCTTGCAGTTACCTCTCCAACGCTGACAGTCTTAATACCATGTTGAGTTTTTTTTTTAAAAAAACTCCTTACATAGTTTGGGCTGTTTGTTTCTAAATTGCTTTAATGTGTTTGGTATTCTTTTCTTTTTTATGACATCAGCCTTTCTGAACATGGAAACAAAGGAAATCTTTGTGATATACATAAATATCCAGAGTATCCAAAGTTGTGTGTGTGATAAAAGTGTGTGCAACTCCACTTTTGCCACCTAGAGATTACTGAAAACAGTGCTTATATCTCATCTAAACTAAGGAGGAATGCATAGGGACATTATCTTTTGTTTTGTTTTTGTAGCTTATGCGTCTGCAGTCACAATTTGGCACAGATGAAAGGTTCCGTATGGATGCTCGCTTCCTTGAAAGTGACAGTGAACAAGAAGAAGGTCAGTTGTTTTCCGCTTTGTTGCTCTGCAGAGTGCCTTACAAAACTGTGTTGAAACAGAACCGTCATACTGTAATTTTGTTGAGTATTTAACATTCTTCATTACCTGCTTCTCCTAGATCAGTGGTTCTCAACAATGAGTTCACAGATGTTCCTGAACTAAAACTCCCAGAAGCCTTCACCACTAGCTGTGCTGGCCAGCATTTCTGGAAGTTGCAGTCCAAGAACATTGAGGGACCCGAGGTTGGGAACCACTGTCTTAGGTGACCCAAAAGTAAATTAACAAACTCTGTGTGTATGGTGATGTGGCAGGTAGAAAGGATGGAAGCATATGACACAGTTGGATAAAAATAGGGTCTTTCTCTTGGAACATTGTAATGTGTAATAAAATAATACAAGCAAATTGACTAGCCAAAATCCTGTTGCTTAGCATCATTAAGTCCCACTAGAGTAGGCCTATTGAATGAGACTTGGTAAGTCAAGTCCTTCATAAGTTCAAATGGGCCTGCTCTAGTTGTGACATATTTTAATGTTTTAAGTCACAACTAGAGAAGTCCCCATTGAATCAGTGCAACCTACAAAGGACTAGATTCACTAAATCCCCGCTGATTCAGTGGGCTTACTCTAGTGGGACATAACAACACTAAGCAACAGGTTTCAACCCCTGTTTTAAGAGAGGCAAGATAATTTTTATAAATGGTATGTTTTTATATTTTTGTGACAGTAGTAAAAATAGTAATGACAATGATAGTAGCAATAATGTTTCGTCAATTACATTTCAGTTTCTGATAACCTTCATAGAGTTTTGTAAGTATAAAGTACTTAGAAGTGGTTTATCGATCCCTGTTTCTGGTGACCATGCAACTTCCCCAAGGCTGCACAGGTGGCAGAGCAAGTAATCACATCAGTCGTGCATGTTTCAGTAGGTCTCAGTTGACCCCTCTTCTGGGAGGCACAGTGAGCATAGGAACAAAAATCTACATTACATTTTATTCTTTAAAATGTTCCTGGAAAACCTGCACCACTGTAAATGGGGAATCAAGTTATATTTGAAAGCATGTAACTATAAATGTCTTGAATTAACTCTTAAATTCTAATTCTTAGATTCTTGGTTATAGAAAACACTGGGCAGCAGTTAAATCAGTCCTCAGTTCTTTTATCTGATATATAGAAGTTTATGTCTAGATTTGTCTAAAGCAAAGATAGTGATGATAGCAGCAAGGGGGAATGCCTGCAGGTGCAAAGGAAAGCTGTACAGCTTTTCTGGATGTAATGCTAGACTCTAGTCTGTGATGGATGCTCCTCCTGCTTCCTCCAGTATGCCACAAGACGAATTTGAGAAGTTTTCTATTTTGCATTGTTTGCTGCTTGTCATGTTATCCAAATTCTGGTACACTTGGGTTATCTTCACTATGGTTAGTTGAAAGAAGCCAAATTTCAAGCTTTAGTTTCTGAAGCTGATTTGTTATGACTCATCATTGTTGAGATCTTTACTTAAGAATTTAGAGAACATGGAAGCAGGTCATTTAAAGGATAAAACTAAATGTTCTGATCTCTTCCTAAACACACTGAAGAAGTGGGAGGGTGCAAGAGTCCAGGGCTCACTGCAGTGTGCTCTTCTAGTGCTAAATGTCAGCACAGGCTCCTTTAAAGTTCAATTTATAGTAAGCATATAACTATGGGTTGAACTTGGAACTGTACAACAGGCTATTTGTCTGTTCTTTTTTTCTGTCTGCTTAGTGCTCGGCTTTGTAAACCAACAGAACACTGAAACATCAGACTGTTAAGGCTGAGCAGTGGCCATAACTGTGCTTGGTCTACAAATTCAGTCATCATGGTAAACCACAGAGAATGTAAGCTGAGGATTACAAACTGTTTTCAACCCATTACATGCCCTGCCTTGATAGCTGTGGTATAATATGTGATATGGGTTCAACAGTAAAAATAAAGCAGAATTTGGTATGATAAATACTAGTGCAGGTAGTGTCGCTCTGTGATAGTGGTTCAATGAAGATTCTTCAAGTTCTTTTTTAATTTTTCTTTCTCCAATTAGATGCATCCAGGAAATTGGAAGCAAAGGAAGAGGAAGAACTTGCTTTAGAAAAAAAGAAAAATCTTGAGATCTTGAAAAATCTTGTGCATATTGGCGTAGAACCTCCAAAACCTAGCAAGCAGGCTGCAAGTGCCAGAAAATTCAAGTATGGAAATTATGCTCTGGTCTTCTGTATCCAAAAGAAGGAATTAATAAAATGCACTGCTTCTCTTCAGTTTGCTGAACCTGAATCTGATGGTGGCTGAATGCAAGCAAAAAAATATGCTCTTGTCTTAGCAGCACCAAATGATCCTTGCTGGATCAGCCCAGAAGCCTGTCTGGTCCATGGCTGTCTTCCCAGAGCTGTCTGTTTGAGTCCCACAAGCAAGCAGGGCATGAGCACAACTGCACCTTCAGTCTTGTGCCTCTTTGTCAACAAAGGCTGCACCCCGAAACCCAGTGTTCTCAGTGTGTGCCTTATTGAACACCACAGGATTTTCTTCTGAGTAACTGTGTATAGGATTGTAGAACCCCTCTAGATTATTTATTGTATTTTATCCTTTTTGTCTCCAGTCAAAAAGAATGCAAACATGTATGTTTGTTATGTTCATAATAAACAGTAGGAGAAAATCATAGGTCTCTTGAAGAACAGTTGAACTTCATCAGTGCCATCTGTGTTGAATAATACTCTGTTCATTTTCTGTCTCTATAGAGATATGAATGCCCTGCGCTATGATCCTACAAGGCAAGATCATGCAATATTTGAAAAAAAGCTAGAAACGTCTGAAAAGGAGAGGTAATTATTCTTTCTTTCCGTACTTTGTTTCTAGGGCTAACTTGCTATTCACTTTAAGAGTTTATCGCTTTGTCTCTCCGCATTCCAGATACAAGTGGTACTATAAATCTAATTTTGGGGGCATATTTGTACTTTGTGCAGCAGTAATACTGTGATTAGTTTGGTGGTTGTTCTGCTTGCTTTGTTGTTTAAGTAATAAGAATTGGATGAAAGCCCTTGGTTTACTTTAGAGTAGGGAAGGGTAGACTAATGGTGGTTTCAGGGCTATCTGTTGCTGTAAACATGACCTCACAGAGATGATGACCTCCCTCCTGGATCTTTCAGTTAGAAAGAATTTGTTGAGCCCTCAATTGCTGGGATCAAACAGGGTACTATTTTTGAATATGGGACATGGTGTAGCACAGTTGTTTTACTATATGAAGTGGCAGCCAGAATTGAAGAGCCAGTATTGCCAAATCATTGGAGCTCTGCTTACGAAGAAACTAATACAGAAAACAGGGTGAAAGAGGAAGGACATTCATACTTCTCTGTTATGGGTTTTTTTTTCAGATTATGAATAATTTTTCCGGATAGCAGTTGATGTCCGATTTGAGTACTAGTAGATATGAGCTGTGGAAAGTTAACTTTACTGCCCTGCCTGGCAACCCCCAGCGCCCCCTAAAGTTTCAGAGAGGGAAACTCTGTAACCTTTCCAAATGCAAAGGGGACTAAGGGGGGGAATCCTCCAAAAAAGAGTAAAGGCAATATGTTTATAAAGCACCTCCACCCAACTTACAGAGATTCTCTGTGCAACCTTTTTTTTTCCAGGAGGGTCCTTATCCCTGTCATGAGACAGTTAACTTCCTGGAGTTCCCTTATACCAAAGGAATATATGCTTAAAACTGTAAAATGTAAACTGTACAAATTTATTCATGTGTAATTCTTCTAGTAAAGCTAAGAAGAAGAAGAGAGAGGAAGCTCAGAAATTGCCTGAGGTGTCTAAAGAAATATTTTACGATGTCTCTGTGGATTTGAAAGAAGTATTTGGATCTACAAAACATGAGGAGAAGACGGAAGTATTGCCGTGGGATAAGCGTGATGATGCGGAACAACAGAGCCCAGATGGTAGAGAGGCATTAAACTTTAGTGCTGGAAATAACACACAGGAGGAAAGTGGCGGCTTCACATTTTCCTTTTTTGGTGCTGAAGAGGAGAGACTGCCTGTGAAAGAAGGTACCACTGCATATTCTGAGGGTGTAGTTTTAGGCTTGGAATGTAGGCAGAAGGTTCTGTAACACGTCTGCTTTCACAACTTTGAAGCATGGGAATTGTGGTATGTTTTGTATAGGCCTTCCATTTATACTGTTTTAAAGTAAGATTGTGCACTTTCCATTGGTATGTGGGCCAATATTCTGCCCCAGGATCCTCTCGGGACAATGTGGTTTGTCCAAAATGTGAAGAAATGAGCCAGTTTCAACCATTGTCAGCCATGTTTTTGATGGGGATGGGCCATTAACATATCACACCACTGTTCCAGGATCTGTACTGGTCCCCGGTTCCATTTCAGTTGCTGTATAGGGCCTCAGTCTTTACCTGGAAAGCACTTACTACAGGTGAACCTAGCATACTTGAGAAAGCACGCCCATACCATGTTCCATTATGAACTGTAAGACTGATTAGAAACAGTTTCTTGCTTATATTCCATCTGTACACCAAGTCATGTCCACAAGGTACAGTACTCAAAGGTAAATTCGCCATAGTTGGCCCACTGAGTTTTACATTGAAATCTGCACTTGCTGGAGACTGACACCGGGCCTAAACATCTATTAGAAGGGATGTCAGAAGTAGGATTATTAACATAAGTGTTTATCATTCTCAAACCTTTCGATGGGACAAGATACAGGCCCCGTTTAATATACACATGGACAGTGAGGCTTTCTCCATGCCTAGAATAGAATATGTCCATTACAAATCCAACTGAGATTTGCATTATGATTATGTGTATGTTACACTTTTAAGCAAGTCTCCAGCTAATGTTCTCTGGGCAATATACAGTATTTTTAAAATGCAAAAAGCAACAATAAAACTGTAAAACAGTGACTGAAGCAGCACCATATAAACCCGGATAAACTGCAGAGCAGAGCATGAAACATGTTTGCATTTAAAGCCAGCAGGCGAAGGACGTAGGTTGTACATGGTAGAAGTGCTCAAGCAGTCTTAAAATGGATGCAGGAATAAAAGGATGTTCTCCTGTTGGTGGAAAGACTATGACTAAGATGCCATGAGAGTGTCTCTGAAGAGGGTTTTCTACTGCTGGGGTGCCAGCATCTTGCCTCCAGTGAAATCTGATATTAACAGGAACAGGGTTTCAATGATGTCCTCAGAGCTCAACATGGGAAGACACGCTCCTTCGGGTAACCTGGACCCAAGCTGCTTAGAGCTTTAAAAAATACAAAAATAGTCTGACAATGATTTCTGTATTAAACACATGAGCACATGAGGGAAATTATTTAGGGAGTGCTAGTGTTTTGCTTGAAAACAAGACAGCAGCCCTGTCCTGTGCCTCTGTTCTGTATCGTAAACTGTCTCTTGTGCTCAAACAAAGGGATAAACTGTGTTAATCTCTCCCCCCCCCGCCCCCACCCAGAACCCTACACAACTGAAACAATAAAGCCTGCAAGAGTTGCATGGCAAGAAGATCCACGGTTTCAGGACAGTAGTTCAGAGGAAGAGGAGGAGGATGAACCAGAAATAGTTCAAAGTGAAGATGCTAAAGAAACGTAAGTAACATTTATATATGAGTATTCAGGTTTAAAAAACTTGGGTTTGGGGCTGCAAATCCCAGATTTCCCCCAACCATCATGACTGCTTTTCTAAGCTTTGAGAGTATTTATGAAGAAGTTGTAGGATCAGTAGAACCCAAATCGGACACAGTGGAACAACATTCACTAGACCATAAGTAAGCAAACTGAACCCAACATAGCTGTTGTGGGGAACACTGAGAGTTGAAATTCAATCAAAATCTGGAAGGCCACATTATACGTGCCCCACTCTAGGCCAATCCCATTATGTTCCTTTCTAAAGTAACTATATTATGTAAATTACAGAGTATCAAAAGCACTTGGCTTAGCCGAAATGCTGGATATTTCTCCTTCTGCAGTACTGTAGTCAAGACTCAAGACTCTTCTGACCTGAGTTCAACTTCCAACAGGTCAGGTAGCTGGCTCAAGGTTGACTCGGCCTTCCAGCCATCCAAAGTTAGTAAAATTAGTATCCAGCTTCCTGGGAGGGCAGAGTCTTCCTTCTATATGTTGTAAGCTGCCCATAGAGTGCTCCAAGCACTGGGGGGGAGTATGTAAGTTGAAAGCATAAATATTATATCCCATTCAGAAGAGGCTTGGGGAGGGAAAGGGGGGATGTGGCAAGAAGAAGAAGAGGCAGGAAATCCTAATCTTGTTTCTCCTATTGTGAAGTCTGTATGCAGACATTAATGTTCACTTTCTAAACATCACTGAATAATACACTCTTCAGATTCCATTTAAAGGAAAAAGGTGTTCCAAAAATAGTTTAAATAAATTAATTAAATTGATTCCCTAATATTTTAATCAGATTCTAGTTATTAGATATTTGTTCATTCTTCAAAGCAATCCCTTCCAACAAATGTAATACTAAATAAATCTGTATGTTAAATTCAATTTAGTTTACCCTGTTTCCCCTAAAATAAGACCTAACCTGAAAATAAGCCCTAGTATGATTTTTCAAGATGCTCGTAATATAAGCCCTACCCCAAATATAAGCCCAAGTTAAGTAAAACCCTGCCTGCCATCATTGCGCAGCAACCAGAAGATGACATGACTGTATTTGAATAAATGTAGATTGTCAAGGCTTGAAAAATGCACTTGTCTACTCATCTGTGATGAGTGAAAAATG